CGACACCATGTCATACACTGATCACCTCTCCGCTTTTTCCAACCAGTCCCAGAGTCGGCAAATAATGCACGACGTGGAATTCTCTGGGACGACATTCGGAGAACATGTCCAAGCCACCGAAGTCGGTGTTTCAAGATGGTGACACCAATTGCATAATCGTCTATGTGCCCGAACACACGATGCCGAACTCTGCATTACTGACATGGTGTTGCCACTGAATGTCAGCAATCCTTCGGAGACAACGATGATCGAACACAGAGAGTCGTCTAACATCCTCAACTCGGAGAGACCAGGTTTCACAAGCATAAAGCAAAACTGCTCTCACCGATGCGTTGTAGATCCGACCTTTTACAGCCAGACTAACATCACGAAGGCGCCAAAGATGGCCCAGATTGGCTTCCACTATTCGTGCATTGATCTCATCACTCACGCCACCACCAGCACTTATGCAGCTACCTAGATACACGAACTTCTCGACTACTTCTATCTGCTCACCATCCAGAGTGAGTACATGATTAGGATCCTGCCAGTCTTGTAGAAGTACTTTGCACTTCGAAGGTGCAAAGCACATACCATACCTACGGACACTGATTGCCAACTGATTAAGTGCGGATTGCATGCCTTGGGCATTATCGCACAGTAAGACAATATCATCCGCATACTCAAGGTCGAGAAGTCTTTCTCCAGGCGGCAGATCCACACCGCCATTACTTACATCCATCAGAGCTGTTTCCAGAATGTCATTGATGGCAAAGTTGAAGAGGAATGGTGAGATTGGGCAACCCTGTCTAACCCCACTGCTCGAATGGAACAATCGAGAGAGGTGGTTGTATGCCCTCACTCTGCCTGAGGTGTTTTTATATAGGGCTTTTAGGATGTTAATAAACTTCTCAAGCACACCCTTCTTCAATAGACAATCCGAGAGAACAGTCCTATCCAACGAATCGAAGGCAGCCCTGATGTCAAGAAACGCTACGATTGTTGGCCTTTGATAAGTATGGCGGTGTTCTAACATTTGGCGGAGGGCGATGATATGATCAATACATCCTCGACCAGAACGAAACCCAGCCTGCTCCTCGCGAGCCAATCTTTCTCGGGTCTTGAACAACCTACGAAGTATGACGGAAGCCAACAGCTTGGACGCGATCGGAAGTAGACTTATCCCCCGATAGTTGTTACAGGAACGACGTGAACCCTTTTTAAAGATAGGGACAACTATCGACTCATTCGATGATGTTGGTACACGTCGTGGAATGACGTTTTATCAGCATCACCAAATGCCCTGGTACGGTTGAGAGTGGAGAGAGTCAGCTCTCCCTTTCGAAGTACTTTCAGATGGACACGTCCATGCAACCACTGACAGGGAAGTCCTACTCACTGACTTCTCGCGGCTTTACTGTTGTTTACGAAATTGAGAGGACGAAAAGCGAATATCCGGCGCTTTAACCAGGTTGGTAGATACGGAGAGTCCACTTAGGGGAGTTGGAAAACCCTGATTCCAAACCAATGGTGAACATGAGCTCCAATATCCTGAAAGAATAAATGGCGTATGAACCTATTGTTGGTCACCGACTACCAGGGGAGTGCATCTCCTGACGTTGCTCCACTGCTCTGTGGTTCAGACGTTTAGGTTGCAGACTCCGGATCTGGCCCTCTAAGAAAACCACCTGCTTCAGTTTTGGAACCCGGTTAGTATCCCAGCCCTCACGCAAATCGAGTGATTTATGTGGCACATACCTATTTGGTGCCTCCTCGTACCAATGTTTATATGTTTAAATAAATAAACAAACCAAACAGGACTGTGTCCTGTTCCATGCAAAAGTCGTACTGCTGAATGTAGAGGGTGTGACAGCAGTAACGTGTTTCCCTCGGACAGCCAGAATCCGAAGCGACGCTGCCTTTTCACAAGGAAGGAAGGGTTAAAAAAGTTCAACCCTAAGAATGTCACACCTCACTTTACCTCATGGATTTCCGTCTTCGGCGGTAAGGCATTTTGAAGAACGGAACTGACACATTAAAAGCCTCCCATGAAAAGGCCGTGCGCGACCGGCCTCAAGAAGTTGTCCCTTGGGCTCCGCGGTCACGCTCGCAGGTCGTTAAGGCCAACATTAATCCGATTTCCTTTTCAGGTTCCTTTCCACGATGTGGGCAGCCGGGAATTGACATCAGCCCTTATACCAGTAACGGCACATGAGACCAAGTTGGTCACGATCAAATCCGTCATACACATCCTAAAAACTCTCTAATCTGCATGGCTAACACTTCTCCCGTTCCTTTATCACCTCGCATCGCTAGGGCAAACGATTCGAGTACGCGGAACGTTCTTCCTGGTCTCCTGAAATCACGCTCTAAACTACACATAGGAGCTTTTAACGTCCGAACACTGTGTCAAATAGGACAACAGGCTTCCTTAGCCATCGATGTGTGCTGCGTCTCTGAAACGAGCATACGGGCTCCGAGTAGCGTCATTCATTTGACCTCACCATATTAAAGAAAAGAACCAACTGGATTCACGCTTCATGTATCTGGAAGCCCTGATGCTGCTTCCCGTTGCCTCGCTGGTATAGATATAGCATTGAGTCCTAGGGCAGAACTAGCTCTTAGACTGGATCCCAGTAGACAGTCGTTTGTGCTCTGTCCGACTAAACGGAACAGTAAGGACTCAGAAAGATAGGGACACTCGTCGTTGCCTCTTCGTCGTCTCTGCATATTCTTCTACTGAATGCAGTTCAGATGAGGTAAAAGATGAGTTTTACAGAAAGCTTTCCGGCCTTCTCCAAAAAGTTAGGCACTCCGATGTAGTCATAGTGGCTAGTGACGAAGATATGATCAATACATCCTTGACCAGAACGAAACCCAGCCTGTTCCTCGCGAGCCAATCTTTCTCGGGTCTTGAACAACCTACGAAGTATGACGGAAGCCAACAGCTTGGACGCAATCGGAAGTAGACTTATCCCCCGATAGTTGTTACAGGAACAACGTGAACCCTTTTTAAAGATAGGGACAACTATCGACTCATTCCATGACGTTGGTACACTCTCTAGTTCCCAAACCTTTGTAAACAACGTCGTCAATTCCTTAGTCAAAAAGTCACCACCATCTTTAAAAAGAGCCGGAGGTAAGTCATCTGGGCCAGGTGATTTGTAACGCTTCAAGAGTTGGAGTTCCTTGCGGACTTCCTCCTCGTTTGGTGGATCAGTCATCACCGGCCATGGAGGGCAGGACAGTCTGACCGATGTTGCCGGAGCAGCAGGCCAGTTGAACTGCCCTTCGAAAAATTCTGCCCATCGTCCAAGACGTCAATGGATGTTAGTGATTGGCATCCCGTCATCTTCGCAGATTGTTTCGCTCACACCAGACTTCTTGCTGCCAGTGGCTCGGATGAGTTGGAAGAGCTTCCAGTAGTTACCAGATGCAGCTGCTGCTTCCAGCTCATTAGCACGCTTCGACCACCAGGTTTCTCGGTCCTTACGCAAGCTTTGCCCGATTTCCTTTCGTAACATCCTTCGTTTATGGTCAAACTCACGGTCACCCGGAGTAGACCGACGGGCTTCAATGCGTTGTAAGGAACCAGAAGAAACCCAGTGCTTAAAAGCGGGACGTTTCGCAAACCCACAACTGACTGTTCCCGCCATTTTCATGGCGTCATGCAATTGCAACCAATGCTCATCTATACTTTTCGGTGGAGTGGTAGCTAACCTTGAGGCTAGCTCGGTTCGATACTTACTTGCAACAGAAGTTGCAACCAGCTTGCTAATATCAATCCGTTGATGGTGGTCACTTCGTTGTCCACTGAAAAGTAAGGCAAGATTGGCGCAGACCAAGGCATGGTCAGAGTCCAGATAGGTACTCCAAAAGGAGCGGCAGTCTTGTACACAACCACGCCAGCGGTAGCTGATCGCGATGTCATCGATCTGAGTCCAGGCTTGAGATACAGAGGGAGGACGCCAGGTGGCACATCGGCGATGACTGTGCCGAAAGTTAGTGCTAGCCAGAAACAGGTTGTGGTCTGTGCAAAGTTGCAGTAGACGGTCCCCGTTATCTGACCTGCGACCGACGAGTCAATTTCACTGAACAAACAGTCGAAAATCTGAGTGCACTCACATTGAAACGCAATCAGATGTTAAGGTATTCAGAGTAACATATGCTTATTAAGGGCTAGTATCGCTATTAAGAATCTTTAAATAGACGGAGAAAACAAGAACATAAAATGTAGTTGCAAGAGGTCCGAATAAAAGTTAAAGTAAAAAGCACCGAAAAAGCAAACAAACAACAACACTGTCCAACAAAACACGTGAGAGGGATATTCCGCCGTGGGGTGAAAATATCACCAAGCCCTAGACAAATCATCCGGCAGTTGGATCATTGAATATCGGACGAATCATCGATTCCTGTCAACTTCAAGGACGACTAACGCTCATCAGTTAATCGTATGTCATGGACTGGCCCATGTGGTGGGGGTTTCACTATCTTCTCTGTACTCGTTCTAACTAATATATTTCCGTAGTAAGGTCCTTTCTGCTATACGGTTTTCAAAGCAGCCACAGCACTTTGATACGACGAAAGGGTAAACCTCGTCAAGTACTGACCTACACAGCGACGTCGTCCCGTCATATCATCCGTCTAACAAATATGTTGAATTTACAGCCGTTGAATCTTTTAACGTAGGTTTGCAGTGGTTAAACGGATGTGTCAGAAATTAACAACGCTAATTTTGTTCAGCTATCCGGAAATAAATGCTAATGACAATAAATATGACGAAGAAAAAACGTGTGAATTTGAATTGCAAGTGTCTGCTCATAATTTGCAATATAATTAAGCGTCACTATGATTAATTACTCGAAAGTTTACTGCTTGAGACAGTGCATTATAGTCTGTAGAATGCAAGTAGGTTCACATAGATAACATAATATACTTTACACCAAATAGATCAGTAACTAGTGAATTAGAGCTTAAATATAAAAAGGGTAAAATTATGATCTTTTAAAGAATTAGATTACCTAATATTTTTGGCCACTTCCATTGGAGTAGTTTCCCAGGCTTTTCCATCCACAATAGTTCCATCTGGTAGAGTGATCTGAACAGGTGAACGTGGTTGTGAAGCAACGAAACCATCATATTCCCTTTTCAGTTTATTCCATAACTCTTCACGATGTTTAATAAATTCAGGGGGAGGTGGTAATGACTTTTCGTTTAGTGCTACAGCTAAACCACACTGGTGATTACTGGCCTAGAAGTGAGTAAATATGTATTATGGAAATACGCTTAAATCTATAAAGATAACTAAACTACACCTACCAGACAAAGGAATTTATGCTATATACTAAGAAGAGACTAGATCAACTCTGATAAGACAAAAACTTAGCAACGAAATCCTGATTATTTCGACTGATTCGGAAACTACGAGTAAACTTGTGGTCCGAAGGCAACTGCAGACTGTATAGGAGTATGGCAGGAGAAAGTTATTTCACTTAGACAACCATTTCCAGTAAAACCATCTTCCGACGACAGGACGGTTAGAAAGGGTCGAAGCTAGGAATAGTACACCTTATCTTGCCCCACGGATTTCCATTGGGGCAGTAAAGCCATAAGTACAGAGCTAGCCCATCTAAAACCATTCGAAGAAAGAACGTGTGAGCAGCTTTAAGCAGTCGTCGCTTGGACACTGTGATGGAAATTCCAGGTCGTCGAAACCACTCCTAGTTAGGTTGCTATTTGGGGTGCCTCAAGAAATATCCTGTCATGGCACAAAGAACTATGGAGTAACAACCCCTGTCACACCTGTAACAGGAATGGACTAGCAGTCACAGTACCAAAACGTATAAATTAGGCTAGCAATTCAATGTTCGTGGAGACTTCCAATATGCCTGATTAAATCTCAATCTTTCGAGATATTCCAAAATATAACCTCTTGAATACTCCATGAGATATTTTGAATTAGCAGTGTAAAAAATATTGATTTGTCCTTAATAAAATTCCGGTATGTTAAAAACATTTAAGATATTGCATTCATACGTTCAAGTATACTTTTAAAAAATGTAACAATTTTCAAAAACCATTGGGATCGAGTTGTTAGGTAAGAACAGATATGTTTAAAAATGGCTTGTTTTCATGTAGAGATTTTATTTTTTTCAGACTTCTAAGTTATTTTTCAAGGACAAAGAAGGCAAGCCAATCACTGAGATTCAAAAATAGAGTAAAAGATGGGTACAACACTTCAAGAAAATCTTGAATAGACCAGCTCTATTGAATCTATCGGATATCGAGGCAGCACCTATAGATCTTCCTATAGATGCCACTGAACCGACGATCGAAGAAATCAGGATGGTCATCAGACAAATCAAAAGTGAAAAGCAGCGGGACCTGACAATATACCAGCCGAAGCGCTCAAGTCAGACATAAAAGTAACTGCTAACATGCTTCACAGTCTATTCAGGAAGATTTGGGAGGAAGAACAAATGCCGACAGACTGGGAAGGATACCTCATCAAGATACCAAAAGAGATCTGAGCAAATGTGAGAACTACGGAGTCATCACACTACTGTCAATACCAGGAAAGGTTTTCCACAGTGTTGCTGAACCGGATGAAAGACTCAGTAGACGCCCAACTTCGAGATCAACAGACCGGATTCCGTAAGGATCCGTCGTGCACAGACAAAATCGCAACACTACGGATCATCATTGAACAATCACTTGAATGGAACTCGTCATCGTACACTGACTTCCTCGATTATGAGGAAGCATTTGACAGTGCGGAAAGAACATTACGAAAACGTCGACACTATGGAGTACCTGAGAAAATAGTCAACATCATACGGAATTCATAAGACGGACTACAGTGCAAATTCGTGCATGGAGGACAGCTGACAGACGCATTTCAAGTAAGGACCTGAGTCAAACAAAACTGATTACCCTTGATTGGATTATGTAGACCTCAACACCTCAAGAGAAGCACAGAATACAATCGACAACTTGGACGCTATTAGGCGATTTGGACTTCCCATGTGACCTAGCCCTTCTATCCCATACACACCAACATATGCAAGTGAAGACAGTGTGACAGCAGCACTTGCATCAATAGTTTTCAACATAGACAAGGAAAAAAGCAAGATCACAAATTAAAACGTGGAGAACACCAACCCTATCACACTTTATGAAGAAACTCTGGAATAGGCGGAAACTCATACCTGGTCAGCATCATCAACATACAAGGAGGATCAGATGCAGACGTACAGGAAAAAATTGGCAAAGCAAGGGCAGCATTCCTACAGTCAACCTGTCAACCAATATCTACAATACGAAGGTTAAGATAGTTCTACTATACGGAGCTGAAACTTGGAGAACTGCCAAAACATCGTCAAAAAGGTACAAGTGTTTCTAAACAATTGTCTACGTAAGATACTGAATGTCCATTGGCCGGATACCATCAACAACAGCTTACTGTGAGAGAGGATAAACCAGATTCTAGCTGGAGAGGAAATTAGGAAAAGACATTGGAAGTGGATAAGACATACATTACGGAAATCACCAAACTGTATCATGAGACAAGCCCTAACTTGGAATCCCGAAAGGAAACGAAAAAAAGGAAGACCAAAGAGCACACTGTCGAGAACTGGAAGCAGACATGAAGAGGATGAATGACAACTGAAAAATGATTACTCAGGACAGACTTGGAAGGAGAATGCTGGTGAGCATCCAATGCTCCTACATGAGGAGTAACAGGAGTATGTTAGCTTGCTGCACTGTTTTCGGGAAGGGCTAAAACACTAAATAATTTCAAAACCAGCGGTTGGCGAGACCATAATTTATGGACGAACCAATCAGATTCAGGATAACAGATCTTGTATTTCGGCGCGAAATTTATTCACCCATTTGGCTAAATAGAATCTTGGCATTATAGCTAATGTCAGTTCGTGATGAAAACCCTAAACCTAATTCCTAACCCTAACCATCAACTGTAAATCGTAATCCTTATTCTTTAAACTGCCTTAAATCCCTCATTTATCCCTAGTAAGTAGGCAGACACTCTCACGGTCACTTTAGCGTCGTTCAATGGTCGCCCATAAATTATAGTCTCACCGAACATTTTGTGAAATAGCTAAGATTGATACCCAACAGTAAATGTAACACATAGATTTCAACTTGAATTTAAAACTAAACAACAAACCAGAAATAAAAACCGAATGGCTGTCAATGCTAGAAGAAACTTTCCATTAATCACGATACCACAAATCAAGCAACAACAGTCAACGTGAATACGAAGGCAAACTAAGACGACAAAACCTACAAACACAGACAACCACGAACAGGGCTATCGAAATGAACCACTACAGCGCTGGTAGAACAGCTTCAAAGTTCACTAATACATGGGTTAAACGCTGAAAATGTTACCGAGAATGACAGTGAAAGCTCTGCAACTAAGCCAGCAAGGTCTCGGAACCCAGGAATACCAAAGTTTTCAACCGTAGTTGTGCTAGTTTTAAAGTCTCAACCGTAGAGGACTTAAACTAGTTCAACTTAAATATTGTGATTAACCCTACAATTTGAATAATTTTAAAACCAAAAACCAAACCAATGAAATACCGTTGGGAATCTATGTAAATCACCCAAGCAACCAAAGGCAACGCGGTTATGGGGGAAAAGTGCGAAATTTCTATCTTTTTATCGCTGCTTGAAATGTCGCCGAATTGTCTACTTATCTCACAAATTCACGCCGAATCGTCGACTTTTCGCCCAAATACAGTGCAGAGTCGATACCCGAAATTCCTTGAGGGCCGATGTGGAAGGGAACTGAGTTTTCTTAACTCATGATTTACTGAGGGGATGAAAGCAATAATAACACTGTAAAATTTACAATACCGAATAAATATCATAATGACCGTCAATTATAATTGACGATTGTCAAACAGTCAGTTCATTGTTTTTAAATTTCTCCCTTAAAAATCAGTCAGTGAGATAATATTAGGAGTGAAAAAAAAACTAGAAAGAGTCAATATTATAACGCACCATCGTGTAACGACTGAACCACCTGTTTAACACGAGACTGGCAGCCCGGGCAACTGAATTCAATAAGGCCATACGATGATAACCTTGACCACGAAAGATTACAATGTCCAATGTGAGGAAACTTGTAGAAAACTTCCTTGAATTCAATAACGATATAATATACAGATTTCCCGTTGTCTAGAGACCATAAAAACCTCACTAGAAATCGTTTTTGAAATAAACCACTCTCAATTCCAGGTTGTACACTGTTTAATAAGTGCTTTGTCGATTTCATTCCATGATTTATACAGTCGCATTCATCAGACCCATAGCATTAAATAACCCCTCAAAATAAAGAACGTTGTAAGCTATCGACATTGGTGCTGAGCGTTTTAGTTTTATTGAACATCCAAGGCCAGTTTAATGTCGCTGAACCCTAACTAAATCATCCGAGAGACTGGCCTGTTTCTTCACTAAATGAAAGGCCACTGAACGTTCAGAAGTTTACTGAAAATCACTAAAGGAAAGGATGACCGACCAGAATTAGCCAGTTGCGTTTAATAAACTGATATACGTGGTGGTGTACGTCGGGATTTCCTAGGCTTTTCCTACAGTACACTACCTTGGTAATATTGTGCTGGGTCTATGTAGTTACTGGAGTGAACACGGTTTCTAGATATCAAGACACAGCAGTTCAGGTTAGATATTAACTTCTAGGTATGACATTGATGTAGGCGAAGTTGTCACATTATTCTCACTCAACAAGAGTAGACCCATTATCTACATGGGTCACTTACAAACATGCCACATATTTAGCGGTAGACTTGTTTGGGTGTTTCACAGCCAATAAAGGTAAAAAGAGGTTTCAAAAGATGCAGACGTTTGGTGTCTTCCTTAAAAATGGACAGCCACCTTGAACATGATTTTTAGGGATTAAGGACAAATTCGGTAGGTTATATTTGAAAAAGTACTTGAAATGATGCACAGAATGAGAGTTTAGTCTCCTTTTATTTAACCAAGGAGGTAGTTTGTAGGAAAGGTGAGTGAGTTGTCGAAGTGAGTATTGAACGAGGCTATTTCCCTAAGAATAAAAAACGACGTTTAATATGCATCCACGCACGCTTTTCGAACGGGAAGTTTAGTCCTAACGTGATTTGCATTTATCAAACTTTTGATGTGTTCTTAAGCAACAAAAGTACCACTTCAGTTCTAAAGAATCTATCCTGAGCTATACGTCCGGTAGATTACTTTTTTTTAGTTTCACCATATTTAATAGTTACCGGTGGTTTTGCCTCAGCTTACTATTCTATTTTTTTGTTTTTCACGTATAGACTAGTTTCAGTTTATATCACTCGTTTTATCCATTTTTGTCCGTTTTCAGTGTGCTTTTTAGTGTTTTTAAAGGTCTTAGGATTTTGCAAGCATCTATAACATAGTTCGCTACAGCATAGTCATGAAAAACTCATGCAAACGTCCGGGATGCCGTTTTGCTGTTACAGCTGGCAGGCAGTGCGACAACTGCAAAGGTTGGTTCCACGAAGCATGCACAGATCTGACAGCAACTGCTTACAACAGACTCAGCAAGTCAGACCAAAAGTGGGTATGTGTCACGTGCAGCACGGACGCTGTAGTCTTGCTGAGTAACATCATTGTCCTACTGACAGGTCTTCGGAATAAGTTGTCAGTTAACTTGGATAACGATAGAAAAAAGCCGGTAGACAAACAAGAGCGTGCGACGGATACAAAATAGGGGTGTCGACAGGCATATCATCGATGGAGCATCCATCAACACTAATGATGACGTGTCAAGGCTCAGTACCATCATCACGTCGACAGTATTAGACTCCCTAAGCAAACTCGGGTCTCCCAGCTCAGGGTCCCTGAACACGACAGTGGTTTCCAAAAACCCTGTAGGTGATTCGACCCACATTAAGAGAGCCCAAAGGAACCAGGCATCACCGCCTAAACCGAGCAACCCAAGTGTTGCTGCACGGAAAATAACTGGTGATTTGGTCTCACAGTCTACCCCCAAGACTGTTCGTCCGGTCAATAAAGAGCCCAAGACTCGAAAACGCGCACCGACCTCCAAACAACAAGTTATTAAACCTGAACCCATCTTGAAACCTGATAAATTAACAACAGTTCGTGATGATTCTCTCATTATCATGAACCTCGTTGACAATCCTGACCTTCCTCTCAGTCTGCAGGACAAAAATGACAGGATGCTCTTGGGTGAATTGAACAAGGATCTCGAACTTCCTAGAATAGAGCCTTTGACGGTCACCCGACTCACTCGAGGAAAGGATTCTAAGCATCTAAATCACCCGAGGCTTCTCCGAGTAACACTTAAGAATGCTACCGACGTAGAGGACGTCTTGCTAGCAAGTCATTTGCTGAAATCCGATGGTAACGTAAGGATATTGCCAGACATACCGTACTCTGAGCGCAATATCATACGGAACATCCCTAAAGAATCTCACGAGACGTTTTTCCGCGGAAGAAACGTAATTGTGCAAGGTATACCGAAAAATGCAGACCCTACTCAATCAAATTCTGACATCAGGGAATGGAAATTCCTCAAACAGTCCTTGAGGCTCAAACACATACTGACTCAGCATGTTACGAGACTAGCCAAGAAGGACGGTGATCTTAGACCCCGTCTAATGAAGATAACCCTTCTATCATCCCACATGGCGGCTGCAGTTCTGGAAACATTTCGTGCCAACAGACGTCAATTGCCACCTGGAATCCACATGCACACGGATAGGCCATATGAAGCTAGGACCAAGCACAAAGGCAAGTTGGAGCTGACTATTCCACTTGTGGACTGTCTAAATGATAAAAAACGTGTAAAGGACAGGGCCTACCACATCGGAAAACCTCATATAGGTGGGCTACCTGTCCATTCACATAAGGCTCATAAAGAAAAACAGGACGAAGCTCACGCGTTCCAAATTGAAAGCATAAACTGCTAATATATGAACGCCGCGAGTCTACCAAACAAACTGGATGAATTACGTGAACTTAGCGATGCTAATAAGGCCCACCTGATAGGAATATCTGAAACCTGGATATCTTCTCGGTTCTCGGACCAAGAGTTAGCATTACCTGGGATGACTTTGTTCCGCAACGACAGAAAAACAGGAATTGGGGGCGGAGTAGCCATATACATAAGCTCTTGCTTGGGGGTGCACCAAGTTCACAACATCGAGTTTAACAATCTTGAGGAATCCATATGGTGCTCTGTAAGATTGTCAAGTACTTCGAGCTGTCTAGTCGGAGTCATTTACAGGAAGCCAACTGCCGATATCGAGTACGATAGTCGTATGCTGGAAGGACCATCCCGCTCTATCCGTCTCGGTTTCACACACATCCTGATTCTAGGGGACTTTATTCTCCCTAGAGTCAACTTCGCGGAACACACGTACACTGGAGGCGAGAACTCAATTGAAGCTCGGTTCTTCAACCTCATCGATGGCTTATATGAAAATGTGAGGTCGGCAACTCGTTGGAGAAACAGTCAGACACCATAGCGCTTAGACTGTGTATTCACAAACAAAGAATTCCTAGTTGACAACCTCTCAATCCTGGCTCCTCTGGGAAAGGGCGATCATGCCGTCATAGCCTTCAGTTTTGTCATCAAAACTAAGCTAAGGTATCCCAACAATAATTTGCGTTGAAATTTTAAACGGCTAAATGTGCCAGCTCTACATGACTATCTACAACAGGTGGTTTAGGATGTTCACCCTCAACTCGATGTGGACGGTCATTGGGACTTCTTACTGCACACGCTCTTATGTGCTACAAACCATTCAGTTCCTCAAACGGTTCCCAAAAGCTGCAAGCCACCTACAGTAATCAAGGACCGTACCCTTCGCCTGCTAAGCCGCAAAAGGCAATGTTGGGCGGAATACAAACGAACTGATAACGACGGAGCGAATAGGTAATATAAACATATCAGGAACATATGCACGAAGGCTATAAGAGAAGACAAACTTCAGTACCAAACAAAGCTTATGGACAAATTCGCCTCTAACCCTAGAAGCTTATTCCGTTATGCAGCCTCTCTTCGTCAAGCCAAAACAGGAGTTTCTCAACTGCTAGGTCTTAACGGCCCGACCAACAACGATGGCGACGCCGCTGACCTTCTGGCGGCACATTACTCTCAAACATTTCAACCGGCTGACATCAACTTTACTGACGACAGTTTCATCTGCAATTCCACAGGACTTTCCGAAGTGGACCCAAGCGCTGACTTGGTGTTCCGGAAATTGCAGCACTTAAGACTAGATACTTCTCCTGGCCCGGATATGGTTCATCCTGCCATTACTGAGAAAGGCAGCCTCAATCCTGGCAACACCGCTTAGCGTGATGTTTTCACACTCGCTAAGCCGAGGCAAATTACCGGAAAATTGGAAGTTGGCTCACATCACACCAATTTTCAAGGGAGGTCGACGCAATGAACCTTCAAGTTATCGGCCGGTGGCTCTTCTGTCATTACCTTCAAAACTCATAGAGTCCCTGATATGCGACGGTTTAAACGACTATCTACTGTCCTTAAATTTCTTCTCACCCCAACAGTATGGTTTCAGGAAGGGTTACTCTTGTATAACCAACCTGCTGACTGCGGTGGACAGATGGACAAGCATCCTCGATCGCAAGGGAAAGGTTGATATCATTTACCTTGATTTCTCAAAGGCTTTTGATAAGGTTAACCACTTGTGTCTTATCAATAAGCTCAAACGACTAGGTATCAAACCACCTCTAATCGATTGGCTTACTTCATACCTAAAAAGATCGACACTTTAAGGTTAGGGTTAATTTCACTTTATCTCAGGCTATGGAATGTCCTAGTGGGGTCCCCCAGGGCTCAGTACTAGGGCCTCTTCTCTTCTTGATCCACATAAATGATCTTCCTCAACAGGTAACGTCAGACTTATTACTTTTTGCCGACGACGTGAAACTTTGGAGAGAGATACGCAACCAAGACGATATACAGGCACTTCAGGAGGATCTGACTCGACTTCAAAGTTGGGCAGACGATAATGGACTCACCTTTAACACCTCAAAGTGTAAAGTTGGACTATGATCTTTCGGTTTTCTTTTGGCACCAGAATA